GGGACATAAAGGATAGGGTCAGGGACGGAATGGGACGAAATGATTGGGTGACAGGTGAAGGTGGGCAACTACTAAGTAGGCAGGTGATGGTGGGCAAGATGGACAGGAGACCAGACCACTGACCAGTGACCATGAACATGACCAAACTTTCCTCTAGCTTTATACCGAGGCAACGGCTTTTGGACCTATTCGTGGGATCGTGAACGGAAAGGGACCTGTTGTTGACACAATAACAAGCAATCTCTTCGATCAAATGTTGTCCGTTACTTAGGGATTATTATACGAAATGATGAAATGGATCAATGTTTATCCAGCACAATACTCTCAAAATCAACAGTTAGGCCCAGTTAGATCGCCTTGGTGTAACCTTCCCTGTCTCTGCACCAACTCTGCAAACGGACAAGAGGAAAGTCCAGAGAGCGAGCAACGCCTAACGCTCGTGACCACGCGTTCAAAGCACCACCCACTTCAGGTCGAGCCAGACAACTGTCAAACCAACTCTCCGGTGCCGCCAGCTCCAGTTCTGGACAGTTGTCTCCAGATCAAATCGGCCGATATGGTCCTCAATTTCCCTAACATGGCGAGACACTGAGCTGTGGACCGACCGACTCGCTCGCTCCAGTTTCAGGACAAACGTCAACGCAAGGAAACTGGAGAGGACTGAGCTCTGCATTGAAATCATCTCAAGATCGCTTCGACCAGAAGGGAATAAAGTCGGCATGGCCGCGACGAATACGCACAAGAGAGTCGCTAAACATAAATGATGTCGCCAGTCGCCTTGGCAACTGGTGACGACAAGTGAGGTTCTGAGATGTATCGTTCATCTGAATATCTAATATTCCACAGCATAATGCAAACCGTGCCCTGACAGAACACCACCAGTGTAGCACCCAGCGACGCCATGTTCCGCGTCTCAACATAAGGGACTGAGGGCACCGACATTTCTCTTGATACCGGACTTTATTTACGGAACATTCTCGAGGAGGAAGCCCCGATGCCATCAGCAGGCGATTGAGGGAAGTTGGCCTTCGTCACGGACAACATTTGACTTTCAAAGTGCGTCTTCGATACGAGACAAGCATCCTCACAGGCTGATCCAGGATCGGAGCCAAATGGGGGCTTAAAACGGAAGAGTCTGCAAAGGAAGGAAAACAGTAGGAAATATGCTTATCCCTAAGGTCAAGCGATTCAGGCAATTGAAATAAAAACGTGTTCCTTGAAATCTCATTTCCAAGACCGCAATCTTGCTCATTAGCCGATTGCATTTTCCGTTTCTGGAGAAATGTCAAATACACGGTTTTTAGGGAGAGGGGAGACTTAGAAATCCTATCAAACTAAGCGCGCCAAAAATCATCCATTGTATCGCATAGTTAGATCCTATCACATCCGTCGCCTCCAATGCAGTGCATCCCTCTTTCTGGATCCACCAGCGTCTAAAAATAAATGACCCGAGTTCAGTCTCGTCCCCCATCCTAAACTACAGAGGAGTGAGACCGATCTCCACAGCCATCTTTGGCCGCGCCCCACACCCACCGAACCACTCCTGGCACCGAGCGAACTGTCACGGCTCACGCCAGCTGCCTCACACTCACGGTGTGCCTCCTCGCACTGACGTGATTCTCACGGAAATCGGGCCACCGCGGGCTGAGCTGAGAATTGTGTGAAGCTGTAACCAGCAGCCGCAGGCGAATGGAGAATTGTGGGTCGCTGACACGAAATTTGAGCGGCGCTGGATTTCAGGGGGTTTTGTTTGAAAAGTAAACGCAATGCTATCTTATCGCAAGTGCTTATCTTATGTGCCTTGGCCGCTTGTTTGCGTTTGAGTCGTAGCTCGTGGGACAAGGGTGAAGCTGATAATACGATTTATCTCCACAAACTTTCGGGACTTGTTTCCCTTCTTTCCAAATATCACGATAACGTTAAATTCCTGGGGTTTAAACGATTTGTAAAGCGGCTGAAGAAAAACAACATCTTCGCCCACCCAATGTTACACAAAAGCAAGGCACAGTTCGAAATAAGACATTTTCCATGTTTCTCATTATTTGTTATATAAGACAACCCCATCATATTCCCTGTTGCTTACCATCTCGTCGCCCAGCCTAATACACCATGATTAACCATGCCCTCATTCACTAACATACAGCTCATCGCCATGCAAAGAAAGCTCCCACAATGACTTGTTTGCCTGAACAGCCCTTTCTCCCGTTCATCACCCAGAAGGAAAGCGGTCTAACGTCGAGTGAACGGTGACGCTGGCTCGTCAGCTCAGCGTCTTCCTGTGTTCTCACGGCAGTGACGAGCTGCCCGCGGGTCCGCACCGGATGTCCGGGCCATGGGAGGGAGAGTTGGGAGGTGAGTGATTCCCAGGGTGAGTATCAGCGTGATTCCCGGAGGGTGGCGGCTGGGAAGTACGGATTTATGCGATGGAAAGGAGCCAGAAGAGAGTTGCCAGATGTGATGACACATGGACTGCTTAGAAAGGACCGACCTGATGATCAACTCGGAGGAGGCGTCATGTTGTTGGTTCGGGACAGCCTAACGGTCTCTGAGTGTATGGAACTTAACGAAATGCCATACAAAGAATCAGTTTGGTGTATAGTGAAGCCAACAAGGGCAGTCAGGATCCTTGTCGGCTTATGTTACAGAAGTCCGGCAAGTACATTTGACAACAATGAGAGACTGATTGACCTTGTTGGGCGTGCTAGAAGGTTTCCAGCTTCAAGTATACTACTGATGGTAGATTTTAACTATGGGCAAATAGATTGGGAAGCAGGACTAGTAAGGGGGCCGGATGACTCTGATGCTGCTATGTTTTATGAATCGGTCCAGGATCTATTGCTGTTCCAGTACAAGGAGATGTCCGACCCCACATCGAGTACTGTGCCCAAGCGGTTGGACCGTACATGGCGCAAAACTTCAAAGCGTTGGAGAAAGTTCAGAGAAGGGCGACAAAGATGGTGAAGGGGATGAAGAACGTACCATACAAGCAGAGACTCATCAATCTTGGTATGACAAGTGTAGAACAGCGCCTACGGAGAGGAGACCTTATCGAGACCTACAAGATATTGACGGGGAAGACGAAGCTGAAGCCGGAGCACTTCTTCCAGCAGAGCCAGGAGGGGAGAACCAGAGGACACTGCCTCAAGCTGACCAAGAAACGAGTGACCCACCATGCAAGGATGATGTTCTTTTCTCAACGTGTGGTGTCCCCCTGGAATGCTCTGCCAGAGGAAGTTATATCGGCACTGACTACGAACAGTTTTAAAAACCGGTTGGACCACCACTGGGCCACAAGGAATCCTCACTGAGTCATTTCTGACCTTATCCGGATGTGGGCCCTGAATAGACCCGGTCTACCCAAGCCCACTAGTAAAACCTAAACCTAAACCTAAACCTATAGAGAGTAAGGTAAATACTGATTATCACATAGCGATGATACCGATAATTCTAGGAATACCTACCAATGCCCTAGCCATTTGTTGCGATAGCAACTACGCATTCAACTTCGGAGACAGGAAATGCGAGTTCAAATACCAATCAAGACGAGCATTTAAAACTAAGTTGCTTTAAATAGTTTGAACAGTTACTCTCCAACTACAATAAAAATGGCATATAACTGCGCAAAGATGATATTCCGGGGTTCATTCAACGTGACAATATTCCAGGAAACCCCAAGCCACCGTCTTCTTAAATACCACATCAGGAAGTCGACTCCGACAAGAGGTCAGGCGTCAGCTCGCCTCGAGCGAAACCTGACCTTTTCCGACCTGTCAGCCCAACTCTGACCTGAGGCCCGCCGGGTTCCGTCACGTGACAAAGTTCATCCGTCTCAGTCAACGATGAAGACAGATGGACTCTAGAAAGTGGCTTTGGAAGAAGAGATGCTAATTTCGGTCTCGGATGAACGGAAGATAATTGCAGCATAACCGAGTATCAGTTATGCTTGACACAAACGGGAAATCGGAAAGAAGCGAAATAGGAAGACAAAAGGGCGTTTTTCGTCATGCCTGCTCGGTCAACACATTACCACGGTTTGTTCCGACTTCCATGCTTTCAGACCATCAAACCACGACTTGTAACCTGCAAATAACCTTAAACCCACCGTAAATCAGACCACTTGTCGAATGCACTAAAACGCTCGCAGCACGAACCTACGATGGAATACAATCCCATAACCAGCCCCGCAAATCAAAATATCGCCCGATCGCATGTTTAGCTAGACCGCCCCGCTCATCGTTTCGTGTTGTATAACCTTCGCAGGCACGAACACCATACGAAGCGCCATCACGTAACACCGCAGGTAGGCAAGCCAGCGGCAGTCCGCCTGGTGAGCTCAACCTCGTAAAGAGCCGGACCCGGCGACTAGCTGGTGGGTAGCCAAAGCGGGTCGCTAAAGCGACACAGCGGCAGCGAATAGCGGGAAAGCGGATAGCGGCTTAGCGGCAGCAGGATTCGCCTCCCACACAGCGAGGCGCTGTTCCTCCCGCTACCCCTCCCCTAGGGGGGATACCGGTTACGGTACCACCTGTTTGGTAAGCTGGAGCGGTCACCAGTGGGGGGGGGGGGGGTGACGGGCGGGGGGGGGGGGTCGGGAGGGGGAATACAGGTCACGTGTACTGTATACTTTGCTGCAGGGGACGAAGGAGGACGCGAACTTTGCAGACCGTGATGAGTAAGGATTAGGATATAGGTCGTGGGCAGAAAATTGGAAATGTTTAGGTCGGGAACTGGGACTCGTCACGTATGACGTTGTTTGGTTTTTACGATGCTTACGTAAGCATTTCTGGGGACTCCCTCTGTGCGTATCTTCGTTTGACTCACCAATTGCAGATTGCAAATTACGTAACGCGAGACTATGGTCACAGTTTGATTTCCGACGACTTGGAGAACAAAGAGCTCTGCTGACTGCGATTCTCGGTTCATCCACCCATCATCAGTTATTCTCATCACATTCGTTCTCTCTCGCTCCGTTCAAAGCTAGCGCGAGCTCTCACACTTACCCAGCGCCGCACTGTCGTCTCGTTGAATGAGATCCAGGAAGAAATTTGTCACATAGTAGAGATGCTCCATGCCCTTGGGGTCGAACTCATCCGAAGACCGGTAACTGGCGTTCAGTTTCGGTGACGAATATCTCACTGGTTCGAACGGTAGCACGCTGCGGGTTTCCACCCCATCCTGGGCGAGCGCTGCACCACTCAGCACCAACACCACCACCACCACAGGCGTCATAGTCACCAATCCCGACACCACTTGCGGTTTGGAGAAGAGTCTCGCACTAGCCTCCATTATGGAGGAACACTGCACCAACGCGGACCTCCCTTGCTGGAGGCTAAGCGCGGACTGCCGCCTGCCGCCACAGCGGACGGGACTGGACGAAGCGAGCCCGCCGCTGCCGCCGCCGGCCGCCGCCGCCGCCCGGCGCCCGAGCGTTGAACCTCGGTGCTCGTGACGTCACCGCCGCCGCCGCCGCCGCCGGTTATGTGACGTCATCGCCACTAGATGTGACGTCACAGTGATCCAGCCGGCCGGCTGGCCGCAGAGGCTGTGGGTAGGTAAATGGCGATGTTAGTGGGATCTGGTGGTGGGATGGAGAACTAGAAGGCAGGGTGGTAGCTGAAAATGGAAAAGTTAAGCAAATATAGGGCCTGGAGCTAGTCACCGATCAAGAATACTCGGAGATTATTGTGAAAATCTGAAAAACATTCGTTATTATAAAGGTGGCCATTTAACCCGCGAGTTGCTGGGGGGGGGGGGGGGCGTTAAACGCCCCCACTTTTTTCGCCGGGCCATAGCATAAAAACGGCGCGCGGCAGGCGCGCCAAATTTTGGGTACCTGTAGGGAATTTATTGGAGTTTATTGTGACAGTTTCAAAAAAATCGGTCCGAAAAATTTTGAGATATCGAGGTTTTAGTGACGTCATGATTTCTGAGTTTTCGACCAAAAACGGCATATGTTCAAAAAATCATATAAAATCACAGAACAGACAAACATGATACAGACATGCAGTAAACGCCATTAGACTGCCAATACCATGAACAATCAAATGGCTATCTTCGATTATTGATTATCGTTCCGCATTTTCCAAAATCTTGAACTGCATCTTGGCAATTTCTCGTGACTACTTCACGACCATGATACATGCATTTCTTAATTTGAACTTTTTGAGCCAAACACGTACACATATGATAAAATGAATGCCACCATCGTGTTCTACGCCCCAAATTACCCATTAAACATGTGTCACGGGCTACGAATATCAGTTTTGATTTTCGGGGATATGTGCCTACCCGGTTGACCTGACCTTGACCCTGACCAATGCTTGACTGACCCCTACATGGAGCTGACACTCTTGTAGACCTTATATGATGGATTGTGCACCGTTTTGACAGAGTTTATGACGAGAGGCGCCCATTGCGAAGTCCTGAAGTCCATGCTACTGAAAGCCCGATTTCAGGTGTTTGACCTGACCTTGACCCGACCTGTGACCTCAAAATTCAACTTTAAAAGTACTCATCTGAAGCGTCTCGTCGCGTTCTTTCGTTTGCCGCCTCGTGCGTTTCGCTGCACCTATTGGTTCTCGAGTTATCGGCTGGGGGCGTTTAACGCCCCCCCCCCAGCAAACAGTGGGTGGCGAAATACCCCAGCAACTGCCGGGTTAAATAGGTACCGTTTACCGGTTACCAATCTTTGGCTCACTCACGGATGTCACAGGTTACGTAATCAGGGAGAAAGGAATTTTTATTTACACTAAACAACGCAACACCAATAGGTGCAGTCTGGCAAAACTCACGGATTCCTTGAAATATTTGAATGTCATGTCACAGGGCTGTTGCTCGAATGTCAAAGCCTTAATTAAGCTGCTGGGAGATCGGGTGCGTGCCACAAGTCGTAACACAAATGTATCTCCGTTTTCTTCATGATAAATGGATACAAGCCTTGAAGAATATTAACCCTAGAACGCCTAGGGGGGGGGGTTGTATCAACCCCCCCCCCTGAGGTTTTTTCGAAATGCACGCTAAACGGCTTGGCGTAGCGGGCTGAAATTTTCCATACCCTCTGGGGCAACCTTTGCGCATCTTTTGCCGAAAAAAAATTGATCGGGTCATGTCAGGTCACGGAGTTATGACGTCATAAGAGGTACAGCCTCCGGCCGGATTTTCACAAACTGAGTGCCAACGCCCGAGGTTTCCTGCCGGTGGTACGGACATCGGTTGATGGATCGTGATGAAACTTCCCATGCATGTTGGGGCAAGTATTGGCTATCATATGGTATAAGAAATTTGACCGGGTCAGGTCAGGTCACGGAGCTATGACGTCACAAGAGGAACAGCGTCCGGTACTATTTTTGAAAAGCGCCCGAACCACTATTTTGCTAATTCTTGTCACCTCAATGGGAATATGCAGCAATATTAGCTTCTATAGGGAGCAAATGGACCTCCCAAATCCAAAAATACAATCAGATTTCAAAAATTTAAATTTTGATTTTTCGAATTTCTGCCGCCGACTGTGACCTTGCCGACTTCCGGCGCTCCCAACGCGCCATTTTTAGAGCTAGGGAAACGAAATACATACCAAACGATAGAGAATTGATCAAGGAACACGATAGTGAAGGTTTCAAGTCGATATTTCCCACCGTTTTGCCGCAATCGTCGCTGAAAGTTGAAAAAAGTCTATTTTTCCGAAAATTTGACTTTTGACCGGTCAAAAGTAGGTCAAATGTTGACCTAGGACCAAAAAATATACCACCAATCGCGAGATCTCGTTGAGAGCAATCCGTTGGTTTTTTCCGCTAAGCTCTACGACCTTCCGTTTCGAAACGCCAAGGGGGGGGTCGTAACAACCCCCCCCCCTGGTCGTTCGTGTTATGAGAAATGGCCTGGTCGTGCGAGGGTTAAACGGGCTCACGATTTACAAATCATTCTCTTTTGCGAGCACTCTGTCATTTGTTCGCAGATCACGACCTCATAAATTTGCAGCCGTGATCCTCAGGCCGCTAGCGACGCCTTCGTGACCTAACTACAGCCAGTCACGAAACCATCACGAAGAAGCGTCACGGGATCACGAGGTCACGGCAGAACGTTACGCCCGTAAAATCTGGTCAAAAATTAGGTGTAACATAATGATAAAGTGTCACAAGCTGCCATACGTTACGGACGCCGTAAGAGAAAGAGAGCGAGTTGATAAAATGTCGCGGAGGCGATCGTGCTGGCCAGCGAGTTTTCTGAGAAGATAATTGTGGCATATGCCACATGATGTGGTGTTTGTATGTGACAGTGAAACTATTTATGTGGTGTGATGCAAGATCAAGGCTGGGGGGATCCGTGCTATCGTAAGTTATATCGGACGTGGCTGCGAAACTTCTCTCGGTACGAAACTTCTCTTGATCGGAAGAAAATCGGAGGGATGAAAAAGAAAGAGCGGCAAATCGGAGCTACGTCGTACGTAAGTTGTTTCGCAGCGTTTAAATGCCAGTTTTACTACGATTTAAATGCCAAGCAGATCAGCTGACCTCGTAGTACCATGTCGATAAGGTCGAATTCCCCATACGTCTATAGTGTAAAAGTGACCCCTATTGCAAATAGGCTGTCAGGGACATCTCCTCCTCTGTAAATTTGGAGGGATCATGTGTCGGCATTCCCACGTTCGTTTCGGAGTCAATCTGTTCCATTTGGAGCCCGTCAGTTGGCGTCAAGAGTTGGCGCAGCGAGCGCCCCGAAGACTGCGTCTGCGCACGAGGCTTCGCGATGGAGGAGTATTTTGACGAAATCGCCCTCGCTGCAGAAGAAATAGAGGGACTTGTTGAGAAAGAGGAGGCCGCAGTGTGCCGACGACTTTAAACTGTACGCCAACGCCAAGACCAAGGCAATCAGGGGGCGCTCAGATGATCGGGAGGTCTCAATTGATCAGGGACCCACCAGGTGACCAGGGAACCCTCTGATAACCAGGGGTCCTTCCAGTAACCAGGGACTCCTTCAATAACCAGGGGCCCCTCAGTATACGTGGGCCACTCAGGTTACTGCAAGAGACAGGAGTCCCTTATAACCAGGGACCGGCAAGGTCTCTCAGGTCCGTTTTTGACAAAGCTGTTATTGATGCCATATGCGAGCCCTTTGCCACCAGCAGAGGGCCCTTTCAAGCCTTTTTAGGGCCGTTTAACGTCTCTTGAGTTTCCTTTGAGGCTAAGGGCCTCTTCAGCAGCCGAGGGGTCTTTGAGGCCTTTTTGAGGGCCTCTTAACGTCAGCTGAGGACCGTTGGACGCCATCTGAGGACCGTTTGGGGCCTTCTGATGGCCAGTAGATGCCAACTGAGGGCTCTCTGACACCAGCTGAGGGCACGCTGACACCAACTGGGGGCCTCCTGACACCAGCTAAGGGCGCTTTTATATTTGACACGAGCTCAGGGCCCTTTGACGCCCTTTGAGACCTTCTGAGGTCCGTTTGACGCCAGCAGAGGACCCTTTGGGGTCATATGAGGGCCCTTTGCTGCCTTCTAAGCGGCCTTTGAGGCTTTTTGAGGGCCGCTTGACGCCACCTGAGGACCGTTGCGGTTGGACTCCAGTTACGGACCGTTTGAGGCCTTCTGATGTCCATTTTGCGCCAACTGAGGGCCGGGGGCCCTCTGACACTAGCTGGGGGCCCTCTGACACTAGCTGGGGACCCTCTGACACTAGCTGGGGGCCCTCTGACACTAGCTGGGGGCCCTCTGACACCAGATAAGGGCCCTTTAAGGCCTTCTGAAGTCCGGTTAACGCTAGCGGAGGGCCTTTTGAGGCCAAATGAGGGCCCTTTGAGACCTTATAAGGGCTCCTTGAGGCTTTTGAGGGCCGCGTGACGGCATCTGAGGACCGTTGTACTCCAGCTGACGACCGTTTGAGGCCTTCAGATGGACTTTTGGCGCCAGCTGAGGAGGGCTCACTGACACCAGCTGGGGGCCCTCTGACACAAGCTAAGGACTCTTTAAGGCCTTCGGAGGGTCGTTTGACGCAAGCTCAGGGCCCTCTGACGCAGGTTTAGGGCCCTTTGACGCCCTTTAAGGTCTTCTGAGGTAGGTTTAACGTTGGCTGAGAGCCCTTTGAACCCATCTGAGGGCCCTTTGAGGCCATCTTGTGGCCCTTCATTTGGCCATCTGAGGGCCCTTTGACACCAGATGAGGGCCATTTGACGCTAACCGAGGGCCCTTCGAGACCATCTGAGGACCCGGTGAACCCATCTGTGGGCCCTTTGAGGTCTTTTGAGGGCCATTGAAACTTCACCACAATACCCCTGGCTGCGCTACTGGGCATTTATGGACTCGTATGGGCCTGCTGGGGAACGAGATGGGCCCTCCCGGTCTTTTTAATCATTATTTCAGTTCATTTTACATGGTCTTCGGCGGTCTAAAGATTAGGGGCCCCAACTCGAATGGGGGGGAGGCCCGTGTGCCCTCTCCTGTGTGTGGCCTTGCCGACACTACACCGCTTCCCCTCCCTCCGCCATAAACGCACCGCTGCACTGCTAGGCGCCGACAAATACGGACCGGCTCCCCCGCGGCCTGCCTCGCGT